TTTTTTTTTTTTTTTTTTTTTTTTTTTTGAGAGCGCATAGGGCATGTGCGCTCGCCAGAAAGAGAAAGAGAGAGACAGAGAGACACAAAGTGAGAAATCACCCCCCAGGGGGATGGCCATGCCACAATCCCTTCTCCTCCATCCTCCTCTCAGGATCTTGGGCATGCACACACATGCACCCAGCATGAGTTTAAGCCACCAGGTCCAGGACTTGAACCACAATCGACTATGTGGGAGTTCAGCGACATAGCCATTACACCAACTGCTGGTCTGCCCCCTGAGTTAATTTCAATGACCAGTCAGCTGCAGCTGGAGTCCCATGGCTAAACATTTGCTTGAAGTTACAGAGATCTCGCCAATGGAAGTTCAGCCCAAGTCCACATCAGCCATCTCCAGGGTGGAATGTCGCATTTCTATGGCTAGAATGGAGGTCCCTGGTGATCTGAGAAATCTGTTGGATTCCCCAGGATGAGGGCATGTGGCTCAGGGGGAAGGATATACCCAGCAGTGACCCCTCCTGGGCAACTGAGGAGTGGGCAATATTCTCACACCTTGTGGAGACCTGGAAGGCTGTCTGCTGCAAGGCAGACATTCCTGAGAATGTCTGATTCAGGGCCATGTAGGTTTGTGCGTGTCCTGGCTGAGTTCCAGGGCACGAAGGATAGTGTGAGTGTGGTGAACCTGCTGGGTGGAGAAGAGGGGGAGCATATACAGGGTTATTCTGGACTGTCTGTGTCATGGGCATAGGTAGGTGTGGGTAGGCTAAATACATGGCTGTAGGCAGTCGGATGTCCATGGCTACCTGTGCTTTGGCTGTTACTCCAGAGAAAGTGTTACTATGTTCCTAATTTACTCACTATGTATTTTCACAAGTGGCTCTGACTTGGAGCATCTTACTTCATTCTAGCACAAGGCTGGTTCTATGACCCAGCTTCCCTGGAAATAGGCTCTGGGCCTTATTGGGAAACTGCCAGCTGCTACTTGGGTGTTTTAGCAAGACTAGGGGCCATTCTGTTTCAGGACTGTGGTGTAGTAGATATGGCACAGGGCAGAGGGAGCTCAGGGTGCAGACTTGCCATCGACTCCCTGCAGATCTTACAGTCTCCTAACTACACACTGTTCCAGGTGGTCCATAGACCAGAGGGGAGCTTGTTAGAGATGCAAGTTCTTTGACCCACCCCAGACCCACTGAATCAGAATCTGCATTTAACAACCCCTCCTCCCAGGAAATGATTTGTACATTCAATGAAAAAGCACTGACTTCATCTGTCCTAGCCCCCATGCCCTAATCCATAAATCAAAAGGGCTTGACTATACTCCTTCTAAAGATTTCCTGGGTCTGTGACTGAGCAGGAGGGCTGCAGGGTTCTACTTAAGTCCTGGCTACTGTGTGACCCCAACTGCCTTCTCTCTGTCTCTCTCCTGCAGCCGACAAGGAGGCTGATGAGTATTACATGAGAAGGCGCCACCTGCCTGACCTGGCTGCCCGCGGCACCCTGCCCCTCAACGTCATCCAGATGTCACAACAGAAGCCCTTGCCACGAGAACGACCCCGCAGGCCCATCCGGGCCATGTCCCAGGACAGGGTTCTGTCCCCAGAGCGCCGCCTGCCCGACGAGTTCAGCATGCCCTACGACCGCATTCTGTCTGATGAGCAGCTGCTGTCCACGGAGCGCCTGCACTCCCAGGACCCGCTGCTGTCCCCCGAGCGGACGGCCTTCCCTGAGCAGTCGCTGTCGAGGGCCATTTCGCACACGGACGTCTTTGTGTCCACGCCTGTGCTGGACCGCTACCGCATGACCAAGATGCACTCCCATCCCAGTGCCTCCAATAACTCCTACGCCACCCTGGGCCAGAGCCAGACAGCAGCCAAGCGCCACGCCTTTGCCTCACGCAGACACAACACGGTGGAGCAGCTGCACTACATCCCGGGCCACCACACCTGCTACACAGCCAGCAAGACCGAAGTGACCGTGTGACCGGCAGGGCAGGGCTGGGCTGTTGGGCGGGGCGGGACAGGACAGGGGGCGGGAGGGGCCAGGAGCAGAGCTTCCAGCCTTGAAATTCTCCCTTCCTTTGTCCCCTCCATAGGAGATGGGGGTGGGTGACCATTGCCCAGAAAGCCATACCCCCAGGGACACAGCCTTTAGGGCCCAGTCCAACACGCTCAGACCTGGGATCTGGAGCGAGTGCCGTCACTCTTCCAGAAGAAAAAAGGGAGTGAGGAGAGGGGCTAGTCCCACTCTCACCCCCACCCCCTTCTCCAACTCCT